GGGTTAGACCAAACTGCCTTGTATTTCCTACCAGAGAAGGTTAGGGTTAGACCCAACTGCCTTGTATTTCCTACCAGAGAAGGTTAGGGTTAGACCCAACTGCCTTGTATTTCCTACCAGAGAAGGTTAGGGTTAGATCCAACTGCCTGTAACCCCTTCCAGAGAAGGAGACATACTCAAAGTAGGCAATTTTTCAGTTTACCTTCATTTTCCACATGACGGACCCCGAATGCAAGTTTAAATAAAATGGCGTATGGTGATTCCATTCCAGTCTGATGGAAGCTCGCTTTGCTGACAGCTTATCATATTTCGGCCTTGAAATTCTTTTTGCAGAAGCCAGGCTCGATGCATACGTTTTTATTTCATTTTTGTAATCTTAATATGCATTACTTCTCTGAAACAAGATGGGGAGGGTTGCGGTAGGGCCGTTTACCCAGGAAGAAGCTATACTGTGAGAGAGCCTATCTCTCACTAAAAAAAAACAAGCATCAATTTACATGCAAAAAATGGGAAACAAAACAAAACAATTTATAGTTGAGAGCCATCACTGAAGGCAATGAGGCAAATAGCTTCTGGCAGATCATTTAAAGTACTATTCTTACCACAGAGTCCCTTTGTCAAGATGTTTTGTTGCTAGTTATGTTCCTTGTCTTAACATAGAAGTGGAAGGTAGAAGAGAGATACTCTCAATAAGGGACTAAACATCAAGCGACTGGCAGGAAAATTGAAAACAATTGACATCGTTTTGAGTTATAGTTAAGAACAGTGAGGTAGACTGAAATCCTAAGTAGGCCTATGTACTTTCTGCTCATATATTTCCAACTGCTATCAGCTATATAATAACATCTCAATTTACCCACCCTACGCCTCGAATTGAAACTAATCCATGATCATACATTATGGATACGCGCTGGTGATTCAAATAAAAACAGACTTCACTTTGAATAGAAATGACTGCAACACACACATCCAACAACGTCTCTAGAAACTCCGGTGCCACGTTTATTGTTGCAAAATATGTCTTTCAACGACTAAAAATGACTTTAACCACCAATATGTGTATATAAATGTCCTTAAAAGGAAACTTCACCGCTAGACACTATTTGGGGTGTTTTTCCAGTCTCCCTCCATAATTATGAGTGATTAGAGGGTGTTCCAGTCTCCCTCCATAATTATGAGTGATTAGAGGGTGTTCCAGTCTCCCTACATAATTATGAGTGATTAGAGGGTGTTCCAGTCTCCCTCCATAATTATGAGTGATTAGAGGGTGTTCCAGTCTCCCTCCATAATTATGAGTGATGAGAGGGTGTTCCAGTCTCCCTACATAATTATGAGTGATGAGAGGGTGTTCCAGTCTCCCTCCATAATTATGAGTGATGAGAGGTGTTCCAGTCTCCCTCCATAATTATAATGATGAGAGGGTGTTCCAGTCTCCCTCCATAATTATGAGTGATGAGAGGGTGTTCCAGTCTCCCTACATAATTATGAGTGATGAGAGGGTGTTCCAGTCTCCCTATATAATTATGAGTGATGAGATAATTATGCACTATAGTTGTATTTTTTCGCGATGGGAGAGTTCAACCAATGACATCATATAATAGGCATATACATTACTCTGACTGAATTTCCACGTGGGCGAGGATATTGGAAATTTAATCAAAGCCTATTAGATGATAATTTATTTATAATTAGAACAAAGGAATTTATAACTGACTTTTTCCAACATAACATAGGTACAGCGAATCCCCTTATTGTATGGGACACCTTTAAATGTGCCTTTAGAGGCCATGCAATTCAGTACTCATCTCGAAAACAAAAGCAATTTAGGTCAAAAGAGTTTATACTAAGAAAGGAAATAGAAAGTCTAACAGAACAGATAGATGGCAATAAAAACTGTAACATAGAGGCTCAGAATAAATTAGAGGAAAAACAAAAAGAAATGGAAAAACTTATTCAAGAAAGATCAAGTGTAATATATTATAAAAATAAAGCAAACTGGATGGAATATGGGGAAAAATTCACAAAATTCTTTTTTAATCTTCAACATAGGAATGCTACCAAAAAGAACTTAATGAAACTGGTTACAATTGACGGAGTCACCCATAATTCACCTAATGATATTTTGAAGGAAGAAACAAAGTATTTTAAGCATATGTTTTCTTTTCAGTCGCCTCCATCTCCTCTAACTGAAGCTAATTGTAGAGATTTTCTTTCTATTGATAATGTCAAATTAACAGCCACACAGAAAGACTCATGTGAAGGTGAAATTACAGAGGAGGAACTTCTGGATGCAATTAAAGACTTTAAGTCCGGGAAAACAGGTTCATACCAATGAGGTATAAACCTTTTTAACGAACCGT